AGCAGACCTAGAGATCGATGCAAGAGAGTATGAGTACGAGGATCAAAATGGGTGGGAGTACCTGTATTTAAAACATGGAGGGAGGCGAGAAGCAAGAAAAAGCTTCTAACAATGCCACGGCAGTCAGAGGAAATGGTGGGCATTATAATCGCCAAGTAACAGAAGTGGTGGCGGTAAGGACGAAACTAGAAAGACATCTGAGATAGATAATGCCCGAGAAGCAGAGAGATACAAAGAACAGATTGTATCCCACTTATTCAAGTGGATATGGGTTGCAGTGTAATGCAGACTGTATGGAATATCAGTCCGTATAAGGACACTTTAATTAAAGGTTCCATCGGAAAAAGGATCCTATGAATACAATAAATCATAGCCTGAGATGGGATGATAACAGCGGAGTGTAATTTGGGATCTTGTAAACAAACACCAACAGGGAAAAACTGGGAGAGCAACATCTCAAGCTCACCCTGGTTACCTCTGAGGTCGCGGATATTCCACTGTAAATAAGCCAGGTAAAGGTATCTACAGACTAGAAGGGTTAGAAAAGTCCATATGTGGCGGCAGCGGAAAACGTTCAAGCAGTGAAGGAATGGGACGCTGCGAAGAAAGGAGTTGCATAGACGGAGGAGAGGGAAGAGGAGTAACAGGTGAAGGATCGGTATCCATCGATGGTCTAGTCTCCTCAATATATTCTGAGATAGCTTCAAGTGTTTCGGAAGAAAAGAACACTGTACGGGAGACAATATTGGAGAAGGAAGAGGAGGGTGAATGATGATTGGGACAATGGACTGTACCAAGGTAGGGGGAGGACGAAAGGGTAGAGGGAATTGGAGAAGAAGCGTGGTAGGGGACAGAAGAGAAAGGAACCTGGGAGGGGGCAGAAGAGGAAGAAACATAGAAGGGGACAGAGGAGGAAGGAACAGTACGAGGAGGGTGAACCTCCACACTTGTAACAGAGCTACTTAGAGGTGAAGAACCAGGGATAGAGACTGGAAAGGCAAAATGTGGAGGTAGTAACATGGGGATTTTTTGGACTTCTGATAAGTAGAGGGGCGATGGGGAGGAGGTGTTGTACGAGGTCATGTCGACACCGGAACTTGTGAGAAGATGAAGTGAGAACAGACTGATGTATTGAGGTAGAGACTTCAGAGTCCAGGACAGCAAAAGAATTAGAGACAACAGTGACTGTGTGTGGCATGCAAAGAGTACGTAACCTTTATTCGGCGCACGTACTCACCCTCATTTACAGGCTATCTCCCCCAACCAGCGAACCAGGTTGCTAAGAGTTGATGATGGGGCCCCGTCGTTCAACTAGTGACCAGGTTCTAGCCAATAAGAAGATGGTTTTGGCAATCGCAGAGGTTATGTGGGTACCGCTCTCCTGTCTGCCCTTGTCATTCCCATTCTAGAGCTGGTTGAAGCACGGTCTGCTATCTTGTGGCTTCTATTTCTGCTTTGCTTACCGTGGAGTGCACTATACTTATCACTGTACATAGTGTACATATTGCTGTTATAAATTGGTGAAGGATAATATAAGTCTAAACTTTTTCTACTGTGTTTATTTGCTCCCATTACACCCGGGGTAACAGGCCATTTGAATCCTGGGTTGTAATATGGGGGCCTGTCTGGGAGGATAATGATTATCAAGAATGATTTCTGGATGATCATATCCGGGATGACGGTTCGGGATACATATTACATTGATCTTTGTGTGTCGGTCCTTTTGTGGTGGGGGTGTTGCGGCCCCCTGCCAAACTAGCGGTTAAATAGTTAACCTGCCGGGCCCGGGCAGTACCACTGGGTACAATCATCAAACCCAATGTGGGACTGCTGAGCCGGCCCTTTGAGCAGTAAGTTCCTGAGTGCCTCACTTTCACCCTCTAAGCAGTAGGTACCTGACCACCTAAGGGTACAGTCCCACTGGCTTTAAGTAACAGTATGTACCTGAGTGCCTCAGGGTAACGCACCTAAGCAGTAGGTACCTGCACACCTAAGGTAACACTCTACTGGCTTCAGCAAAAATTAAGTACCTGAACTCCTCAGGGTACACATCTACGCAGAAAGGTAACCTGACCACCTAATCGTACCTATCACTGGCGTTAGAAGAACCGCTCACCGCAGCTCCACTGAGTCTGTTTGGGCCCCAGTTACTTGACGCCGCATTCAGTTAGCTTGCAGCATGGTGTTGGCTAGCAGGTGTCAACCGGCTTTGGAGAGGATTTACTGGACTTTCTGGTGATGTCTGTGACTCACCGTCTACGCTGATCAACTGTGGGCTGGAATCATCAGATGCGTTTAGTGGACATTACATGAAGAAAAGGTTGGAGTGTTACACTGAACTGGGGCCAGGACCGTAGGTTTACACTTAGGAACGTATGATGGAGTGAACACTGAGATATGCACCCGGACCGTAGTGGAACACTGAGATGAAAAGGGTGTCGTGGGACACTGAAGATGGCCTGGTTGTAGTGTACACTGAATAGTGTCATGTGACTGGCCTCGACCGGATAAGTGTCGTGAGAAACATTGACTGTAATATATTTTAAATGTTACTTAATTTTTTATTTTAGCATAGATATTTATATATATATAGTGACAGTAGTGTCAAAAAATTTTGTCCCTGTTGGGTTTTACAAATTATTATTTTAGTAAATTGAATTAAAAATTTATTATTGAAAACATGTAAAATTTTAAACATATATTTTTTTCAAATACCCTAACCAAAGAATTGATTTAAAAAGATTAATTTATTTTAATGGTGTATTTATGACCCCCGAACTCTTTTTTACAAAAGGAGTAAATTTTACCATTAATATTTAAAAATTACTTTTTTTTTAATATATGGGGGCCTGTCCGGGACTGGAGCTGGATTTAGAGAAAGGGTTGAGCTTAAGGTGAACTCGTAGGGGAACTTTGGCAGCTGCTTCTGGCATTGCTTTAAAAATTTTGCGGTTTTCATTTTTTTTACAAGCCTGTTCGGTGTGGAAATTTTTTGCAGTACTTTGCTTGTATCGATTCTGCAATCGTACTGTGCAAACTAAGCGTTTTCTGCAAATTAACGTGTTACGTTGGGGTTTTCGCAATCGTACTGTGCAAAAGCGAATAACTTATTGCCACCTAACGAGCCCAGACGTCGGTGTCGACATATACTTTCCCATAACCACCAAAATTTGTCCCTACACGTTGTTGGGGCAAATGCTCGTTCCATTGGCATTACAACAAACGCACCTCACAGCTGCGCAACTGCGTTCACTGATTGCTGCAAACTTATAAGAAAAGGGCACACAGACTCCTCCCCTACGGGAGCTAGGGAAAAAACTACTATTTTCTCCAGGAGGAAGATGATACACCTACGGAGAAAAAATGGTCATAATCAGCGGGTTGTCTCAGGGTGAACAGCGCGTTGGCACTTAGCTGGAAAAATCAATTTTTGGGGAAACGGGGGAACAGAGAGCTTTTCGAAAGGGAAAAAAATTTGAAGGGAAAGAAAAAGGAGAATTTTTTCGCATTTGTAAATAATTTTTAGTTTACAAAAACAGTACGTTTTTCCCCGCTTAAAGGCCGAACCAGAGCAATTTTTTTTCGAAAGTTTTCGAAAATCGGTGAGGCCTTGAGGGGGCCGGAACACTTGGGGCATCGGGGGTTCATACACCTTATCGGGAAGGCACAGAATTTTACGTCAGTTTTAAATACGCGAATTTTCTGATTATCAAGAGTGAAGCCACAGTTTTTTGGGAGCTAACGTGTATCCCACCAAAATACCGAAAAGGTTTTCAAATTGGGCGGGACGACAGCTTTGTAAACCCCTAGTCCTTTGTGAGACGAAAAACCAAACTTTTACCAGGGGGTATAAACAAGTGGTGGTCTCTCCCTTTGAGGAGCTGGTGCAGTTATTCGGGATTGATAACCTGCTGGAGTCTGTGGGACCAGAGGTTCGAATTTTTCTGCGGGGATCGTGATTAACCACTGCTTGGAGGCACCAGGTTGGCTGATACCTTCGAAACAACCGCTCCTTGTCCGAGCGGCCCCCGCTTCTTTTCAACACCCCTGGCACAGCAAGATCGTCAACCTTGGAAATGAAGTGCCACCGGGAGGAGAACGTCACGTCAGCCAACCAAGTCACCTGGTAAAGCCACGCTTCTCAACAAAAGGCCACCTCGGAGAGGCAAACTATCATGGGCATCTCGAAACAGTACCAAGAGACACCAGCCAGAACACCCTTTTTTGCAACGTCAACAGGGAAAGGGGAAAAACCTGCGTCTGCTTCGGGTGCAAAAAAGTGGGTCACACATTCCAACTGCCCCCATAAACCCCAACCTAGGGGAAAATCTCTAATTTTCCCTAGTAACAGTCCCCTAGAGAAGTAAAAAAAGGTATGGCCCCTTATTTTTGCAAAAGCTTATTTCCCTTCGGGAAAACCGAAAAAACAAAGGGAAAAGACCTTTAGAGATACGGAGCATTTGCCACTTGAA